TCGCCGCCGCCCTCATCAGACAAGGAGCTCTCCAGGGTCTGAAGCCTCCCGCGCACGTTCCTGAATCAGCGCCCCCAGCGTGTGGACTTTCACTGCAGGTCCACCGCGCTCGCCGTTTGGGCAGGCCCCTCGGTCTGCGTGCCCCCGCCGAGCCTTCCACGCCCAGATGGCTGACGCGGCGCCCTTCCCTTCGGTCGGGCATGTCCTCCTGCAGGCGGATTCTGGGCGACAAGTAGCACAAGACAGACCCAGCACATGTGCCACACCTGCTCCACAGTGGTCAAAACAATCGTCCCCTGAGAATTCTTCGGCTGTTCTTGAAGATTCCCCCTGTAGAAGGGAGATGCCCGACCTACTCCTTCCTTCGTGCTGCCGTGCTGGCAACGCCCACCGGTGGCCTGCGCGTGCCCTCCCCGCCATCCGCGCCCGCATGGCCGGCGTCGGCAGGCCCGCATCCTGAGCGATGCTGGAGGGCCTGGCCACGCCTCGTCGCCGCCTCGTCTCGGGTCGGGCGCAAGGGGGGGATAGCAAAGGGGGGGTTTGAGAATCAGCTCGCGTAGCTGATTTTCCCGGCGCCTCCCGGCGCCGGAGGCGGCTATGTATCGAGGAGTGGGCCCCTCGGTTGGCCGAAACCAGCTGCACGCAACAAATTTCGTACCCCCCCCCTTCCCAATCCCCCCCTTTCGTCCGGCCCGATCGTCACCGCGCGCGAGGCCGCTACCGCCAAGAGATTGTGTGTGTGTGTGTGTGTGTGTGTGTGTCGCAGGTCACCAGGTCTCGGCGCTTTGCCCAGCCGTTGGGTTCGCCAGCACCGCCGGCTCCCCCAGTGGCGTGGTGACTGCATCCTCGTGTGACAGGCGTTTCTCCCTGCAGCCGCCTGCTGCTTAGGCTTGTCCAACGTCAGCTCCATCTGCCTCTCCCATGGATGGGCTGATACTGCTTGGCTGGCCTGGACGTTGCATACTTGCCCATTCGTGGCACCTGCTCCCTCACGCGGCTCTGCCCTGCCGCCGTCGGGCTGCCCTCCCCAGGCTTGTCCAACGTCAGCTCCATCTGCTTCTCCTATGGGCTGATACTGCTTGGCTCGTCTGGACGTTGCATACTTGCCCGTTCGTGGCACCTGCAGCCGCCTGCTGCTTGCTGCTTAGGCTTGTCCAACGTCAGCTCCATTTGCTTCTCCCATGGATGGGCTGATACTGATTGGCTGGTCTGGACGTTGCATACTTGCCCATTCGTGGCACCTCCTCCCCCACGCGGCTCTCCTGTGGGCTGATACTGATTGGCTGGCCTGGACGTTGCATACGTGCCCATTCGTGGCACCTGCTCCCCCACGCGGCTCTGCCCGGCCGCCGTCGGGCTGCCCTCCCCCCCCGATGCCCGGGGACGCCGCGGCTGGCTCCCACCCCCGGCGTCCGCCCCGCCGCAGCCCGGGCCTCGCCTGGGCGGGCCCGGCTTCCCCTCTTCCTGTTGCGCCGGAGGAGGAGGAGGAGGAGGAGGAGGAGGAGGAGGAGGAGGAGGAGGAGTCCTCGCGTGCAGTGCGGCCCACTTTGCACATCCAGCGCGCCCCACTGACGCCCGATCGCCGGAGCAGCAACCTCTGCCCAGCCGCCGACGCAAAAAGTGTGTGTGTGTGTGTGTGTGTGTGTGTGTGTGTGTGTGTGCTTGTGTGTGTGTGTGCTTGTGTATGTGTGTGTGTGTGTGTCTGTATCTGTGCCTCTAGATAGAAGCCATAGCAAGGAAGGCGTTTTGCTTGTTTGTGCGTTTTTTTTTTTTTTTGCGCGCTGTTCTTCCAGCGCAATTTTTTCGGGATGCGCAGGGGAGGACGAGGAAGGGAACGATTTCGGAAACCCTGAACCCCAAAAAAGGCCTTCCACCACCTTCCGCCGCCCTTCCGCTGGCTTCCGCCAGCGGCGGCGACCCCGCTTTACTTCCGCCGCCCTTCCGCCGAGGAAGAAGGCGAAGCATTCTGTGGAACGCCGCACACGGGCTGCGCTCCAGACTCGCCCTGGTCTGGCTCGCAGGGGGCAACCGCGGGAGCCTGTCGCACGGGGAAGGGCCAGGGGATCTCGGAGATCTGGCAGTCCTGGAAGACGTGGCGGGCGCCGCGGCCGTTCCAGAGCGCTCCAGAACGATCTGAGTGCTGGGTCCTCGTTTTGAGAGACAGTTCGCCTCGCGTCCTCCTCCTCCTCCTCCTCCTCCTCCTCTCCTCCTCCTTCTCCTTCTCCTCCTCCTCCTCCTCCTCCTCCTCCTTCTCCTCCTCCTCCTCCTCTCCTCCTCCTCCTCCTCCTCCTCCTCCTCCTCCTCCTCCTCCTCCTCCTACTCCTCCTTGACGTCGCGAAAAATTGAAAGACCATAGAAATCACGACTGGAGCCCTAGACCCCATCTTTCTCAGCCGTTTTTCGAGCCGGATCGATGTGTGAGGGTCCCGGGGCCCGAAGCCCGGCGAAAGCGCCGCGTTAGGATCTCATGGGAGGGTGTTCCGGAACGCTCTGGAACGATTTATCCTGATCCTAGGCTCGGACTCCAAGCCCTAAAAAATGCTAGGGGCGCAGTTCTTCCCGCTATCAACTTTTCAGTTTTCGGCCAACCGAAACCGAATAAACACTGGCAGCCCCAAGCAGAAACATATAGCGGCAGTACAAAGCGGAGCCGAACCGAAAACGGCGCGAGCAAGAGTCCCAAACAGGAAGATGAGGTTTTTTTTTCGGCGTTTCGACATTGGGCGGAAAGGGGGGGGAGAGGGGGGGTCTGGCTCCAGACTTCTGCTTAGTGCGACGGTTTGCAGCACTGGGTCCTGTGGGGAAGGGGGGCCCCACCTGCTCGAAGCAGGCGGCCCAAAACAGCCAAGACGCACTCCAGGGGGGGGGGGGGGGAGGGGGTGTCCGAGGGCCCGCGCCGATCGGCAAAGCAAGGAAAACCAAAACGAGCGCAGAACAATAACAGGGCCCTCGCCATCGCTCGGACGTCCATTCCCTGTGTTTTTTTCGGTTTCGTGCGTGGTTTTTTTCGGCAAATGGTCAAGGATGCTCCTCGTCGGTCCTCGCCGCAGGAAAAATGCACACGTCCGAGCGATGCCAAGCACTCCAGGGGGGGGGGGGAGGGGGGGTCCGAGGGCCCGCGCCGATCGGCAAAACAAGGAACACAAAAACGAACACAGAACAAAAGCAGGGCCCTCGACGAACTGCAGGACGGCCCCCCGCCCGAGGCCTGTCGCAGGCGTCCTGCAGGCGCGCGGCGGCGCAGCCGTCCAGCTGCGCCGCGCGCCGCGCCTGCGCGGCCACCTCGGCGGCGAGGGCGCCCAGGTCGCCCCGCAGGCCCTCGGAGACGCCCGCGTGCAGCGCCTCCGCGCGCTTCAGCCTGTCGTCGAGCCTGGAGAACGTTTTTTTTTTTTTTTTTTTTTTTTTTTTTTTTTTTTTTTTTTTTTTTTTTTTTTTTTTTTTTTTTTTTTTTTTTTTTTTTGTTTTGTTTTGTTGTTGTTGTTGTGTTATCATTATTATTATTATTATTATTGAACATTATTAATTCTAAAGAATAATTATTGTTGGGGCCCCTGGTGCACGGCACCCCCGCCGCGCCTAGGCCGCAGCTACATTTTCATCATTTTTTTCGCGAAAGCTTCAGAAAAGTGGATGGGGTCCAGATCCGGTTGTTTTGTTGTAGTCCGTTTTCCCTTGCAAAAAACACTATAAAATGACATTTCTTGTTCTAATATAATCAAATTTCAAGAATCCCTTGCAAAAAATAAGGTAAAGTGGACATTCGCGCGCGCAAGACGAAATCCTTCCAAAAGCTTAGTGTTCGGAGCGATTTTAACATAAAAACATCAAAAAACCAATGGTTTTTCAAAAAAAAATGTCAAAATCTCATCCCGCGCGCTCTTGCGGATTCGTAGGAAACCCAACACTTTTTAAACATTTCTGTCAAACGGGCTTTTGCGAGCAACTTTTTCGAACTTCTGCGACAACGGTTGCGCACCTGCCAGGGCCATCATCCCTGTCAAATAATACCATGCGGGACACATTCGTTTTTTCTTCGCGCGCGCACGCCGAAATCTCCAAAAACCATTGGGCTTCTTAAGAATTTTAGCACCACGCATCATAAAATCACACGAATCGCACCGTAGGTCCTCGAAAAACACCTGCACGACTTTTCAAAATTTCTACCCGCGCGCGCTGTCCGAATCCTAAAAAAAACCAATGGTTTGCCAACATTTATGTTACATGAGCTCGCGCGAGCTACTTTCGCACGCTCTTGCAACGGGGTTGTGGATGGCTTAACAACTTCTGTGGGTTAACAAAGCTTAACAACTTCTGTGGGTGTACGAACGTAGGCTTAACAACTTCTGTGGGTGTGTACTCCACGCCAGTGTAGTAGCCACGGTCGTCCGCAGGCCACGAAGTGAAGTGTCCGAACGTCATAGGGCGGGAAGCTGGGTGTGGGTGGTGGCGAAGAGTCGTGTGGATATTTGGTAGAGCTTGCATTGCCCCCCCACAAAGTGGGGGTATTGGCTGGCGTCGCATGAAAACCCTGGCACTGGTGAGAACACTGAGCGTTCGGGTAAAGTGATTGTTGTTGTTGTTGTTGTTGTTGTTGTTGTTGTTGTTTTCGTTCCCATTGTTTTTGGTTGTGGTTGCTGCTGTGTTTCCGCGAGGGCCTTCCGGCGGCGAGCCCAGGGGGGCAAGCGAGACGACGGAGAGGGCCTGCTCACACAAGGCGGCGGGACTTCGCAGAGGCCCTCTCGCCTGCTGAGAGGCTCTGTGTGTCTTCGGGGAAGGCGCAGAGAACTTCTCGGGAGGCCGCGGGACTTCCGAGCCTTCTGAGAAGGCCCTCTCTTTCTCACTTCCCCCCTGGGCTTACTGTCGAGCCTCGGTTATGCGATGGGGGGGGGAGGAGATGGCCGATCGACAAGCCGGCTTTTTCGCTGTGGGCAGCCCCATGCATGCCCGCGCGCAATAATGCTGCGAACCCCGTTCGGGCCTGCGCAACCGACAAGGTCAGCTTATCCCACGGGGGGGAGGCGGGTCGTGGGGCAAGCGGGCCCGCCAAGCCGGGCTGCCGCCGGACCCTTGAGAAGCCGTCTCCTGCGGCTCAGCTCGGCCTTGGCGTCGGCCACGGCAGCCTCTGGAGGAGCAGAACGCGGCATTCCTCCTCCTCCTCCTCCTCCTCCTCCTCCTCCGCCTCCTCCTCCGCCTCCGCCTCCTCGTCCGCCTCCTCCTCCCCGTCCGCCTCCTTCTCCTCCTCCTCCTCCTCCTCCTCCTCCTCCTCCTCCTCCTCCTCCCCCTGTTCTCTTCTTGGAGGGCCGCGGCGAGCTCTGGCCTCGAGCAAGTGGCCCGCAGACCGACGCCGCTCCCGAGCCCAACCCGGAGCCCCTCGAGGCAGGACAAGAAAATCACGGCGGAAGGCTTTTCGCCATCTTCGGCCTCTGGAAGCCCTTGCCGGGCCTCGGGACCTCCAAAAAACGGCCCAGGACGAAGAACCGGCCCCGGGGAAGGGGTCCAGACCTGTGGGGTCGACGTCATGAGAAAATCATGACGTCGGGGGTCTGGGAACTTCGTGCTTACTCCAGCGTGTGGGCTGTAGCGGTATCGGCTGCATTGGCCTTTTCTGCTTCGAGCCTTGCTGCCGCTCTGGCGACGTCGGCGATGTATGGGCGCCATCGGCGTGGAGAAATTCTTGCTCAACATCGAGCCGTATCGTCGATGCATCGGTGGTGCGGAGCGATCCCCCGACCCCATCCACTCCGACCCCACCTGGGAGGCCGAGACTCTTCGAGCGTTGCTGTCGCTCTGGCCACGGCGAGCCTCGGCCACGAGTAGGTTCCCCGACCTACATCTAGGGCGCTGTGCCCGAAAACTGGAGTCCCTCCCGAGGCCAGAGGCCCAAAGTTGTGCTTCCTCCAGCGTGTTGCAAGGGCTCCCAACTTCGCGCTTCGCGCTGCGCGAAGCGCGAAGTGCGAATAACTTCGCGCTCTCGCGCCGCCTCCCAAGGGAGAAGAGGAGGATGAGGAGGAATCGGAGCCGAACCGCGAAGCGCGAAGCGCGAATAACTTCGCGCCCTCGAGGGCGCCCTTGGTGTTGGCTGTAGAGGTGTCGGTCGCATCGGCTTCGAGCCGCCGCCATCGGTCGCCGCCGCCGCCGTCGGTCGTCGTTCTCGGAAATGGAGGAGGGCCCAGGGGCCCCAGCGAGAGGGCCGTGCAGCTCCTCCTCCTGCTCCTCCCCCCCTCTTCTTCCTCCGTTTTTTTTCTTTTTTTTTTTTTTTTTTTTTTTTTTTTTTTTGTTTTTTTTTGTTTTTTTTTTTTTTTTCTTCCTCTTCTTCTTATTATTCTTCTTACTGTTGCCATTACTCTTACTAGTGTTATTCTTTTTATTTCTTTTTCTTCCTCTTTACTATTATTTTTCTTCCTTCTACTATCATTATTATTCGTATTATTATGATTATCCTCATTATTCTTAGTAGTAGTCTTTTTCGTTGTTTTGTTATTTCTTTCTCTTCTTCTTCTTCTTCGAGGCCTTGCTGTCGCTCTGGCTCGCCTCCAGGTCGCCGCGCAGCACGCGGCCCAGCTCCTCGGCCTCGGCGCAGCGCCGCTCCAGGCGCGCCTCAGCCTCCGCCAGGGCCCGGGCGGCGTCGTCCTGCGCCTGCTGGCGGGACTCCTCTGGGGAAGGCGAGGCCTTAAGTCGGGCCTGTCCCCCAAAATAATCCAAACATAGTCTGGGGACTATTTTGAGTTTTTTGTGACCTTTTGGTTTTTTTTAGGGGTACTTTTTGGGGGGGGGCGAAAATCCCTCTGTAGGGGGGACACGCCCGACATAAGCGAAGGCATGACGAAGACAAATTCGGGTGGGGATGCAGCGAGATTCTGTGAGATCTGGTTCGAGGAGGGCTCGAGGTTCGAGGTTTTCGGACGCTGTCGTCGGCTCTCGGCGCTTTTCTAGCCTGGGGTTGCCAGGAGCTGCGCCTCGCCGAGGGCGCTCCGGGGGTGCCTGGATCGTTCCGAACGGCCGCTGGAGATCTGAGCTATGACCGAAAAACCAGGTTCGGCGGCAAGCGATGGGGGGCAGTGAGAAGGGGGAGGCTTTCTCACAAAGCGGCGAGGCTTCTCAGAAGCCCTCCGGCCTTCTGAGAGGTTTTCTGTGTCTTCGGGGAAGGCTCGGAAAACTTCTCAGGAGGCTGGGGGACTTCCGAGCCTTCTGAGAAGGCCTGCCCCCCTCACATCCCTCCCAAGCTGGCCGCCGAAGCCAGGACGAGAATCTGTGAGATCCGGCGAGTCAACTCCTGGCCTCCCAGATAGGGTCGGAGGATCACGCCGCACCGCCGATGAGGCTCGATGCAACGCCGATGCGTCGGCGACGTCGGCGGTGGTCCCCTTAGACAAAGCCAGGACGAGGATATAATCGGGTGAGGGTGTCTCGGGCGCCGCGGCCTTCTCAGAGCGTTCCAGAACGCTCTGGAAAGGACTTCTCCTCGTCCTGGCCCCGTCCGATCCAGGCCTCCAACACCTTGAACGAATCAAAACGGCGTTTCTGTTGTTGTTGCTGTCGTTGAACTCTCATTTCTGAAAAATAACTATTGTTGATCCCCCGCCACCGGTGCACACTCGTTTTTCGTAATTAAAGTGTGCCCCTCGACGCTCGCACCCTGTTTCTTGACAGGGAAAATCTTGATGCTCAAACTGGGCCCTTGGCCCCTGGGTTACAACAACAACGGCTCCCGCCTGAGACTTCCTCACAAT